TCCATAATCATAATTAATGTAAATGGATTCAATCAAAGGATAGAGGCTCTCAGATTACAGATTGAAAACCAAACTAAATCCAGATATATGCTGCTTACAAGAGATACACCTAAAATATAAAGCATGGAAACCTGAAAGTAAATGAACCATTAAATAGAAACATACCAACAAGAATCAACCACAGAAAGCAACTATACGAATTTTAATAACAGTTAAAATAAGGCAAAAATGCATATTAAGCATAGAGAATCAGGGAGATGTAACAAAACTGTCAGTACCTAATGACATGGGCTCAAAGAGATTTTAAAAAATTGGCAGAATTGCAAGAACAAATTGACAAATCCACAACCCTACTGTGATGTGATTTTTAAACACATCTCTCTCATAAAATAATAGCTGAAACAGACAAAATATTGGTAAATATACAGAATATTTGAACGATACAATTAACGTGTTTCATATGAGATAATATATCTCCTAGCACCTGTAACTGGACACAATAGCTCTTAACACTCTCCGCCTTGCTCACGCCACTCCAAACACATAGGCCTCTTTGCTGTTCATCAAAAACACCAGGCGCATTCCTGCCTCAGGGCATTCGTGTGCCTGTTCCCTCTGCCTGGAGTGCTCTCCAGCCCCCAAATTCACAGACCTCATTCCTTCATCTCTAAATCTTTGCTAGAGTACCTTCCTCTCAATGGGGCTTCCCCTAAATGTCTTATTCAAAATTGCAGCTCCTCAGGCCCCAACTAATCCATTTTATCCTGATCTATTTTTCCCCCAGAGAACTTATCACCTTGCAACAAAGTCTGCAATTTATTAATTCAGTATGTTCAATCTCCACCCACTAGGCTGTGAGCTCTACAAAGGGAAGAACTCCTGTCCTGTTCACTGATGTGTCTCCAGCACCTAGAACAGCGTCTGGCACCCACTAGGTACCCAACAAATATCTGCTGAATGAATGAATGAATGAAGAACAGAAATGAATACATGTATACAAGAGGACAGATATAGTTTTATAAAGCTGGGTTTAGCATATTGATCAAAAAAATAAAGAGGAAAAGCACCAATAAACAGAATTAGGAATGAAAAGGGGAACATAAATACAGAGAGTTTTAAAATTCCTAAGAGAATAATAATACTAATGATAATATAAATCTAATATTTATTAAGTGCTTATACATGCCAGATGCTGTTCTAAATGTTTTACATTTAATCGTAATCCACCCCTGTGAGGCAGTTACTATTATTGTGTCCATTTTACACACCAGTAAACTAACGCACAAGGGCATGCAGCCAGTGATTCCTGGAGGCAGGATTCCAAACCACGCCCTCTGACCCCAGCACCTGTGCTCTAAATGCACTCTTCTGTTTTCATAGAGAGAATACTATGAACGAGTTGATACCAATATGAATAAACTCAGACAAAAGAGACATTTCAGGAAAAATAAAGATACAGAAAATCTAAACAAATGTACACCATTACAGAAACTGAATCAGTATCAAAAATCTACCAACAAAACATAATAGCGAGGCAAAGCTTTTATAGGCAAATTCTACAAAATCAGCAGATAATCTCCATCTTATTCATACTGTTTCAGAGGACAGAAAAAGAGGAAAAGCTGCCCAACTCATTTTATGAGGCCATTGTATAATCTGATACTAAAACTGAACCAGGACAATGGAAGACACAAAATCATAGGCCTTTCTCACTTATGATCACAGATGCAAAAAATTCTACTAAGATATTAGCATACCAAATGTAGCAATGTATTAAAAAATAATCACAATCACATAGACTTTATTCCAGAAATGCAAGGAGGTTTTAACATTAGAAAATCTATTAATGTAATTCACTTATGGACATTTTGGGTTGGATATTTCTTGTTGTGGGGCTATCTTGTGCATAATAGAATGCTTAGTAGCATCCCTGGCCTCTACCCACTACCTGCCAGTAGCACACTCCTCCCAGCTGCAACAACCAAAATTTCTCCACACGTTGCCAAATGGAAGTGTCCTCTGTTGAGCACCACTGATGCAGAGCCTAGTGAACTCTATCTCATGTTATATTTCCACTTACTGGAACCTGGGCCAGTTGTGCAGGCCTTAGGAGTATAGACCAAACTGCTACATTTTGCTTCAAATAATCAGAGTGAATTGAAGACATTATGCCTCTTTACCACTAAGTACTTAGTAAATATTGCCTAAGAACATTCTTTACATAATCACAGCACAAGTATCAAAGTCAAAAAATTTAACATTGATACAACAGTATTATCTAATCCACAGTTTATACTCAGATTTCATCAATCGTTCCAATAATTGTCCTTTCTAGCTATTTCTTTCCCTGTCCAGATTCTAATCCAGGATTTTCTTTTTGTCTTTTCCCAATTTACTTGACCATGGAACCTACTTTTCCCCTACATAACTGGAATTTTTTTTCTTTTCCTGGAATATATTTGACATAGAACATTGTGTAAATTTAAAGTGTACAACACATTAATTTGATACGTTTACATATTGTAATATGATTGCCATACTGTAGTGATCTTCATTGCATTTAGTTGTTTCAACTCCTTAGTCTCACTTAATCTAGAACAGTTTTGTCTTCACCTTTGTTTGTTTGATGTTTCTCATGATTAGATTCATGTTATGTGTTTTTGACAGGAATAGCAGAGCAATGATGCTGTACCCTTCTCAGTGCATATATCAGGAGGCACAGGATATCAGTTTGTCACAGTATTGGTAATGTTCACTTTGATCATTTGGTTCAAGTGGTATCCAGTAGGTCTCTGCACTATAAAGTTACCATGTTTTCTTTGTAATTAACAAGTAATTTGTTGGACACACTTTGGAACTATGTAAATATTCTGTTACTCATCAAACTTCTGTCCACTATTTTGACATCAACGATGATTTTATAACTCCATCATTTTTTCTACATACATCCTACAATAAAAAAGTGCTTTCCCTTCCACCCCATTTATTTGTATATATCAGTAGGGATTTAGGAATTCTCATTTTTCTCAGTGGATTATATATTTATTTTAATGTTCAGATTATCCAAGATTTGGCCAGATGGAGCTCCTTCAAGCTAGCCCCTATATACAAGCACAATTCTAAACCCCCAAATATTATGCCCCTGTCACTAATCAGACTTCTGGGGTGCCCTGGTGCCAAATATTCTCTTCAGAGAACGTATCCTGAGTTTATATTAAACAACTGCAAACACAATTAGAAAGTAAATTTTCTGGAAAAAATCTATCTAAGTTATTTGGGGATTATATGCCACTTTGAGATCCACTTTACTAATGAAGATATCAAGAGGTAAATTTAAATTAAAAATTTGACTGATTTAATGCACATTATTATGATAAATGAAGTTATCCAAAGTAATTCTGATACCAGGTTCAGAGTTTGTATTATAAAAGACAAACCTTTTCATCTTTGGCATCCAAGTTCACATTTATACCTAAAGTATCAAAGAATATTCAAGTTGCAAAGATACCAAGAAATTTGACTGATGTACACTTATTCAGAAACAAAGGAGTATGGAAGGCTCTTTGTACAGATATTTCTCAACTTACATACCAACAAACACTTTTAAAAGTTCATTTCTAATTCCAAACTCAGCCCAATATTTCACAGAAATGTTATAAATCATAGAATCTTAATGCTGATACACAGGACTTTGGCGACGGTATTGTTTGATCCTCTTATTTTACAGAAAGGCAGCACAGGCCCAGAGAGGTGAACTGTCACAGAAATAGCGGGAAATCTGAAATTTGAATACAGTTTTCAGGATTTCTAGACAAGGCCTACTTGAAACACACCACTTAACAATGGTGAGATTAATAAATTAGTCCACAAAAAAAAGCTCTTTAGCCCACAGTGTGGCTGAAACATTTAGCAAGGAACAATCAGTAGGCGACAACAGTGTTGCAGTAATCCTTATTGGAGTAACCCAAAAGTTACTATGTTGAAAATCAGTTTTTTTAAAGAATTAATTTTGGGCTAGGTTAATTAAAAGATGATGGGAGGGTCCATTAATATTTCTGCTGGAATTCTTAAAGGAAACTCATAGGCTCTTAAGAAGCTCCTTGCCTTGGTTCTGTATTATGTCTAACTTCACCCCACCATGCAGGACTTTCCTTCTCCACGACAGGCATATACCATCAATATGATTCAGACTTATCAGGCACAACTAAGGTAGTCTGGGCCTCTCCATTAACCACCAACTCTTTACCTTAAAATACATAAATCTGCCCTGAGAATGCAACAAGATACATTTTCTGTATCAGAGATGATGTAACACTCGAGGCTGCTAAACTTTGGTTTCTTGAAATAGAAGATTTTATACATAATTCTATAATTTTCCCTCATTTTATTTCATAAATTTTCCTCAATTTTTCAAGAGTGTTTCCTTTAACATCAAATTTACATAGCTGGATTTACACATAGAAAACCATCAACGATACTTGTACCTCCTCCACTTTTACCTGTCTGGTGTGATCAACTCCTGGATCTCCCATGATCTGAGGCCTTTCCTGCTCCCTTTCCCATCTCCTCCTCTAATGAGACTTGAGGCTGAAAACAGGATGATTAACCCCCTCATGACCATGCTGATGTCTTTCATACTAAAATACACAGTTGTGCCTCAAGGAGGAAGTGGATTCTCAGCTATAAACATCCAGAATTATCTGACAGCTAACAACACAAAGAAGCTACCATTTAGCTATTTTAAATCTTCACTATAAGGGAAGAGAATTGCCATATATAGTTACCACTGGATGAGATACATTTCATAAAGGCAGCAATGAGAAGAGAAAGAAAATGTTTTATTCTCTTTAAAGTTGAAAATACAAAATGATCCAGATGGTTTTTTCAGCAGTTACAAATACAGGGTGTTATTTTTCAAAATCTATTAATTACTTTGTGAGTCTTAGAATCAGAATTTTCCATGATAACTAATCAAATGGGTAAAGCAACACTGTACATACCCTGAGTGGCTGTTGGAGGTAGTTTGAGGGTATTGTCTAACTTCTCCCAAAGGTAAGTTGGTCGAGGAATGCCTTCATCTGAGCTACAGAGCAAGATGACATCGCTGCCGATGTCCTGGGATCCTTGGATCTGGCAGTGTGGGGCAGAAGGGGGAACTAAAACAGGAAGAGGAAGCAATAAAAAAACATATTTACTACATAATCAGATGGTTATGGAGGAGACATCAACAGTCAGTGCCTGGAACCTGAGATGACACTGTTTTTGGAACACATACCAGAAGACTGTCTCATGGGTGAAGGCAGTGGACAGTCAGCTACTATTCACAGGGCTTGAGCATAAGCACAGGGCCTACAACTTCAGTTGGCAGGGAGCAAATATATAAACGGGCCTACACTCTTTGATTATATTTTCAAGGTATCTAACAGTCCTGGTTTCACTCCACTTTCTCTAAAGCAGCATTCTTAAGATCCTTCGAGTCAACGAATTTTAAAACATGTGTAGGAAGCATGGAGAAGCAGAGTCAAGATAGGCTGAGAGGAGAGAAGACAGGAAATGGACACAGGCAGATGGAGAGCACAGAAGGACAGGCAGAAGTAAGCATGCTTGAGAGTAGATTCCTAAGTACAGCCAAGGTGCCAGGAGCATTTCCTGTCACTCACCCAAAACTGTGAGACCAGTGACCCCAATGTTCCTGCCCCCTCTGTCTGGAAGGTTGTTGACCAAACACTGGTAGGTGCCTGTGTCTGAGAGCTGAGTGTTATTAATGAAGATGGAGACGTTGGTGGCTGGCATGGTGCCTGTAAATCCTACCCGACCGTGGAACCGGGGGGCACCATCAAACATCTGTCCACCCTGATACAGAATGACCTGCAGAAGAAAGCAAAAGGAATACATTGGCCACTGCATCCCCTTCAAGAAACATAACAATAACTATCTGGTAGACAGTAGACTGCACCAAACGTTGGAAAATTTTCTTTCTTATCTTAACAGTTGTCATCAACTTTTTACTACAGCACCTGTCATCGGTATCTTGGGGTTTTACATTATTACATGCCAAATTGGAATAACACTGTTTCCTTACCTAACTGATCAAAATATAAACAATGTCTTTAATGCTGTCCTACTATCAGCCCACAAATATTTTTATCAGTTCAAAAAATTAATTGCAAAATAAAAAGTTTAAAAAACATTAGCACTGCCATTCTCATGCTTACTAGGTGACAAAATAATAGATCACAGCTATAGACTGCATACAAATGAATGTCATAAGAGGGAAGAAGAGTTACAAGTCCATGATTGCTCTTCTTATATCAATTTCTATTATCAAAGTTAACTCTTCAAGGGAGAGGACTCAGAATGGTGTTGCAAAAAGCCCTTTGGGTTGAGAGTGAGGGACCAGGCTCTATTCAAGTTCCATCTGCAAATGTTTGGGTAACTGTGGTCAAGTCCTTCTCTGCCTCTGACTCAATCACTGACTCCTAAAATAATGAGGTTGAACAAAACGATATCAAAGGCTCAGTCCAATTACAAAAATTCCATAGTTTAAAGAAATAAAAGAAACTTCTATTAAATATACCTGGTTGAATTTTCTATCAGAAAATTTAGCTTATCAAATATTTTTGGGTAGTAATAAGCTTATTGAAGCAGAAAAGCTTCATAACAGAAATAAGTTATCTTTGGGAATGAAGGTATAGTCATGATCACAATTCATTAATTTTCTGAGCATTATTTTCTGCAGCGGGTATTATAAATTATGGATCTTTTATCTATAATTGATACGCTTATTAGGTAGCAGCTTCTATTTTCACGTACTCTAATTTTTCAGACTCTGACGTTGGCTAGTATGCCTGGCTTTGTTTATTTTAAAATGCTTGTGAAATTAGCCAAATAAATCAAGTACTACTATCTAACATTACATCCTTAATATTA